AAATTAGAAAAAGTCGTTAATTACTGTGTGGTCATGGACAGTGTGTTTGACATTTGGAGGAAAAAGATATAGCTCATGCTTCACACTTTTGTTAAAAGATGACATCGAGTTATGTTCAATTTAAAAGATTCTTCTCTTGTTATATGTCATTGTCACATACTTCATGGTTTTTATCTTTGAGAATGTAAAAACCTAGAACAATCATAAAATTGTTTTTCCATTAGTTTTAATTGTTTTTAAGCACATGCTTATGTATTTGTTTTAACACGGTTCCTGCGGCAACGCACAAGGCATCATCTAGTTCTTATAACAAGCTTGCACACATACAAGTTTGTTGATTACAGAATCCAGCATTGACAAGCCAGGATGGGATCCGACATAACTAACAATTGCATTTATTACAGGTACCAAATAATGGATTTTTTTAGGGGTACCAAATAATGGATGAACCTAAATCTGGGCAAGGGCGGCCCAGCCCGAAAAGAACAGGCAGGGATCAGGCTTTGATTTTGAGCCCGAAATTAACCCAACCAGGCCTGAAATACCCCAGATAATAAATAGGCTATCACATCTCTTTCCCCATTCCCGTAACCCTAGCCTACCAATCAGGCAACCGCACAGAGTGTTGCAGCACCAAGGCCGCCCATCTCCGACGAGGCGAGGCAGTGTCCAAGGAGTCGCCCGACTCCGGCGCTGCTAGCAGCGTCCAAGCCATCGTCATCTCCAACATGGCGGAGCGTGGCATACAGGGAGTCGTAGCCCATCTCTGGCGGTGAGGCGTCATCCAGGCATTCGCCCGTCTCGGGCGCTGCAAGGCAACGTCCAGGCCGTGGCCCTTCTCCAGCGCGGCGGCTCCCAGGACATCTCCCTCTTTTCGTGTCTAGAGGCATGCCCCCCGCCATCCAGCGCCTCCCCACCTCTTCAGCAACGGGGCGTGGGCAAAAGCACGAGCTGCGGCCATAAATACTGATCGAAGCTGCGTGCTTGATAAGCGCTTGCCATTAGATGTGCGTGAGGTTGATCCATACCTGATCCGTGATGTGTGCGTGTGGTTCTTGCGTGTGCTTCAGATGAACGATGGTATTAGAATAAAAAAGAGACATGGCAAGACACAACCCCCCTTCAATCCACAATAAATGGACAAAAGCATCATGCACATTATTCTCAATTCAATTCATGTTTAGCTTCAGCAATCTTTAATTCTTAATTAACCTTCGATATTCAGCTATGTTAGTCTGCAATGCAACAGCAGTACAGTTTCTAAGCTCCCAGGAATTGGTGCCCTGGGAGCGAACGTTTCTTTTTTTGAAAGTGCACCATGTTTGTCAGGGAAAGATCATGCTCGCAAGTCGCAACCGACGTCTGCCACCCAATAGTCGGTTTGTTCAGATCAGCTATGTTGACTTTGCACGCTGTTGAGCTCGCGAGCCACCCTCCCAATATATCTCTTCTCCCGCTGCTAGGGTTCCGTCCGCCTACCGCTCGCCGCCCACCCAGCTCCGGCCGCCACCGCGCATCTCCTCCGCGGCTCCGCCAAGGCCGTCACCGTGCACCGCGCCGCAGACAGGACATGCTGTGGTGGCACTAGACAAGGATGTCCGCCACTTGCAAGCTCGGCGGCCTTCCTCAAGCCCACCATGGTCAACATCCCCTCCCCTCACCCCACCTACTCAGCTCTCTCTTTTTCCAATCTCTCTGGCTGGTTCTACTGTTTTCTCCCACGCTAATTTCAGAAAAGTATATCTTAATTCCAAGCAAACTCATGGGCTATTTGGAGGCATGTACTTATTTGGTCGGACAAGCTATGGATTTGTGATGAGCTCATGGAATTTCTAGATGCTGCCGAAGGAGTTAATCTTCATATAATTTTTGTGTCCAGAAGTAGTAGATTTCATCCATATTTATCTTGCCATAGTATTTTCATTCTAAAGAGCATGCGTGGCAAGGGTTTTTTCTCGGCTGCCTCGGCGGCTCGGACTCAACACTCAAGCTCCTGCACCTACGTCGCCATGCACCGATGCCTGACCTCAGTGTCACTGACGGTGGCATTGCAAAACCTAGGTAATGACTCCTTAACCATCTCCGCCACCATGGACTTTCCCCCTCCTGCTCTTTGAGTTGTACTGCCTATTGTTCACTGCTGCTCTTCGAGTTGTACTCCCTCCGTTCCAAAATAGATGACTCAACTTTGTACTAACTTTAATACAAAGTTAATACAAAGTTGGGTCATCTATTTTGGAACGGAGGGAGTATTATATACTGTTTACTGCTGCTCTTCGAATAGTATTGTAGTGGCAAGAAGCCATGAACTGGAAAAATAGTGACAACTATGTATAGAGAAGGGATTAATAATGGTCTCCTTTTGTACTAATTTTTTGCAATACTTCTTTGGAGCATTGGGTTCAATGTTTGTGGCTGTCACATTATGAAAGCCAAGAACTGGAAATTTGTGTTCTTTATGCGACACGATAGTTTGTTGTTACATTTCAACCTTTTCTACTTTGGACATGTATAATTACAATCTTCAACGGATAGCTTCAGGTTAGATCTAGAGTGAGGTGATAGGAGCAGCAAGCAACAATAGGGAACCAAGAACCAACAGGATCTCTTTTATGAAGATGCGCAGGTTTTCTTCAGCTACTGCAGATTTTGGAATCAGGTAATTGGAGTAATTAATTTCGTGCAGGAAGGTCATAAGCATGAGTGACATCGTTAAGTAAGTAGATGATCAGAATTTTTGCCTTTGAGCTGGGCTACACTCAGTAAAAGAGACTTGTATCAAAAAAAATCGTGTTACACATGTTCCAGTATATTCCACTGTTTGGAATAGAGAAAAGAGCCTTCTGCTGAGAATTTACTTGTTGTAGAAGAAACTTTTAACAACTCGTACCTCTATCCCTAAATATAAGACGTTTTTGCTGGTCAAATTGAACAGATACTTACGGGACAACAACAGTTTTTATTAGGGACAGAGGGAGTACTTCTTTTGCGGGATGTTAACAACTACTCCCTCCGTCCCATAATATAAGAGTGGTTTTGACACTAGTGTAGTGTCAAAAACGCTCTTATATTATGGACGGAGGGAGTATTTTGAAATAAAGTTGTTCTAATAAAATAACTCCTCTCAAGATTATATAAAGGATGGATTGACATTCTAGAACATATGTTATGTTGCTAATTGACGGTGCTCTCAGAAGTAACTTCTATTTAGGACATCAACTGTCAAGGTGACTCATCATTTAGTGAGAACCGACTATTTTACACTTTACCAAGGCATTGGTCTGGGTCGATTGCAAGAGTATCTGTAAATTTTGCCGTTTATATAGTTGAATAAGAACAATCTATCTACTTAAGATTGGTACTGCTTGCAGGAATTGGCAACAGCATATTACAACAAGTCAATAATGCTTCCTCTGCCCGTCATTCCCTCCACTTGACCTGGAAAGAGGTTTGCAACTTCGCATCCAGCTTTAATTTCTTGGAGATGTATTAATGAAGGTCCAAACATATTAGCATATCTTGATAAGATGTCACTATGAAATAATACTCAAAGGCATAAGATCAATTTTTCTTCATGTTATATATTCTAATATATATTCCCGGAGAGTAGATATTTGCTTTACTTTTCTTGGTATCAGTTTGGAGAAAAACTGAAACTGAAATGATGCTTGTTTTAGTCATTGCAACTACTGTACTGAATTCTAGAAAAAAAATGTGTTGCAGAAATAGTAGCTCAAGGTTGAGGAGATGAAATTTTATTTTGTCCCCTGTTACAGTTCAACTACCTAAGTTTTGACTAGATTGTAGCATTGCTTGCTACTGAGAATTGGAAAAGAAGTCCCAGAGTCTTTGTACAAATAAGCTATTTATAGTGAATATTGCAGCCCAACTTGCAGCTTCAGTCGGTAACTTGTGGTATTATTACTAAATGTGTTTTGTGCAGGTTTCAGCTTTCAGTATTTATGATGCTGAACTTTGGTTGTAGGACAAAATGCTCCTATTTGTGATCTATGGGATTTGCATGTAGTAGCTGAATAAATATATATTGTATTACTCTAAACTCTGCATTTCCTTCTTCACTTTCAACAACACTTAATTGTACATTTCAAAGTATTCGGGTTCATGGCAAACTAGAGTTCATGGTTTAGCAAGACTCCTGGAAGACACAAATTTGCAAATAGAACATGGAGAAGAACTCCACTGTAATCCACTAATGCGAAAAAGGCAACAGATCAGGATGGTGTTTCAAGGATTGAAATCAATAAGGATACTTTAGATAAACAGATCGGACTTTATTTTTCACTGCACTGTCATTTGGAATTTGGAATTGGCTTCATGCAGCCTTTTATTTATGTCCAGTTCAAAGATTTTTTGTCTGATTGGTAGTGTCATCACTGTAATGGTTAAAGAAAACGGCGCGGCAAGGTACATGTATGCTTCTAGTATTAACTATACTTTGGAAGTTTGGATCATACTAGGACAGACCCAGTGCTAGAAGCTCCCACACCAGGTGGGGTCTGGGGAAGGATTATACAAGGCAAGCCTTACCCCTGTACAGTGCAATGCAGAGAGACCGCGTCGAATCCAGGACCTCTTGGCAAAAGTGGGGAGTACTTTGGAAGTTCGGATCATACTAGAATGATGCTAAATCATATTTAAAGGGTTCTAATCGACACATACTATGATGCTTTACAAATCAAAGTGATGAATGGTGAGTGACAGGACTGCAAGTGTGCGACTCTTCAACACATTCCGATTGATAGTTTCAATTACTATGGACGATTGTTCCCTGAATTTGACATTAATTATGCACCTTTACAAGATGAAGCTCTGTTCTTATTACATGATAGCACACATCACCAAGAATCAACATGCAAAATAATTAATATCACAGGATACTTAATCCAACCCGCTATCTAAACCTGGAGCTTCACTTAAGTTATACCTCTACAACACAATTGTCATCATAGTGAGCGGGAAATAAGAAGACGTACGTACCATCACATGCGTGGCTGTGGGCGAAGGATCATGATGAGGATGTCTATCGCCATGAAGGCGACGAGCGGGCTGAGATCGAGCTTGCGGCCGAAGACGGGCGGCACGACCTCGCGGCAGAGGGCGAGAAAAGGGTCGCAGAGGTCTCGCAGAGCGGAGAAGGGCTGGCGGTCCCAGGGGATGTTGGGAAACCAGGAGAAGAGCACCCCGACAAGCAGAACCTCCCGGTAGACCCCCAGCCAGCGCACGGCCGCCGACATGGCCGCCGCAACCGGCGGGCGCAGCGGCGCGAGGTTGATGCTGCGCAGGCCAACCTCGAGCGGCGCCAGAAGGCCGCCCACTGCAGACGCAGCGGCGGCGGCGGCGCGCGGGGGAGGAGGGGACGCACAGACGCCACGGGGGAGGCGGAGCGGGCGAAGAACTAGGGTTCTGGCGGGTAGGAGACGGGTGGCCGGGCTCGGGAAGGGGCGGAGCAGGGGCGGCCTTGTGCACGGGGACACGAGGAGGCCGTTCATCTTACCCGGGCGCCGGTGGAAGATTCTACAAGGATTGGATTGGGAGGAGAAGAGGAAGCAGAGGAAGACGCAGAGGCAGGAAGAGAAGGTCGCAAGTGTGTGTGTGTGGATGGAAAGGATAGGGCGAAGCAGACCTGGCCAGATGGGCCGGCCCGGCCCGGACAAAACGGGCCAGGCACGGCACGGCCCACCCAGGCACGCCTAATACACGGGCTGTGCCGAGCCGGCACTCCCGCGCTCTCTGGGCCAGGCATGGTACAACAAGGAAACAGGCCGGCCCACCGACACATTTAGCCCACCAGTCTCCTTGATTTTGGGCCTATTTAGGCTGTTTTGGGGGCTAATATACAAAAGAATCTAAAGAAAAAAGTAAACAGGGCGTGCCGTGCCAGCGCTCGTGCAGATATTTGGGCCACGTGCCGGCATGGCCCGATTATAAATGTGCCGGGCGGCGGGCACGCGGGCTATCAGGCCAGCATGCCAGGACCGGCCCATTTGGTCACCTTTGGTGCGAAGGGAGGGTATTATGTAGAACTTCAGTAGTATTAAAAATTCTTACCATCATCTTTCCCTTCCCTAATAATAAAGCACGAATTAATTTTATCGGATTCATCGTTATAATACGCTTCTTTTCATAAATTTACGTTTTTAGTTTAAATTTCAAACATATACGTGAGGTGATATTAAATTTCGTCTGTCCAGTTTCGTTGTCACAGTTTCAGTTTCCTTCTATACCCAGAATAGGCCTAGCGAACTAAGCCCATGAGCTGGCACAGCCCAACTATCGTGCGCGGTGAGGACGCTGGCAGTCGCGCAATGCTCCGGCGTTGTACGGTTTGCTTCGCTTGGCGATGGGTACTTTGACCAGTCAAAGCAAAATATTCTTCGTGTAGCACTCCACATAGTGCCCTTTTTTTCCTTACTGAGCCACGTAGTCACGAACGAGAAAATTGCACAAGCTCAGGGCACAACTAGAGTAAATCATTAAGAATAGCTCTCCTCCCGTTCACTATAGCAAGAAAAAAAATTAGACGTGCAGACGTGTAATCTGATCACTTGCCACACATCTAAAATCCAATTTACGCATGTTCTAATTTTATGTGGTCGTGCCTTTAAAAAAATGCCATGTATTCCCTCCGTTCCAAAATAGATGAGTCAACTTTGCACTAACTTTAGTACAAATTTAATATAAAGTTAGGTCATCTATTTTGAAACGGAGGGAGTAGTTATTAAAAATCATTCATGAATTTTAGAATGTTTATGTAGTTTTAAGAATAGTGTTCATATCTATAATCTATAATCTATAATATCTAAATAATTCATTTCGATTATTTTATTTCTCTTAACATACAAGCTATCCACATCATCAGTCTAGCCATATCAGCGTTCCGTTACCGGCTTACAAGGGGGGACCGGCCACAGGTTGAGCAGCGTCCACAATGGCCATGTAAGCATTCAGTTACCAGATTGCGTGCTGACCGGCGTATGTAAACGGGCTTTAGCAATTATTTTATAGTATTTCATTTGGTTCTATTAACATATAGACATGCTTTCATCCTCCCTTTCCAGTCTTAAACTGCACACCGAAGGCCAATCGTCGCATTCATTTAAAACAAAAGAAGCCCAGCCGTCTAATCTTTTCTCCATGTGGTGCGTCCGTTTCGATCATTCTCTCTTAAATAAAAAGGACCCATATCTTTTCCCTTGGCTAAATGGATGCGGCGGCTAGGAGGTGATCTCATTGTGTGGTTCGCTCCTGCGGCACCACCGCCGGTCCGGAACGCTTCCGATGGCTCTGTGTGCTATCTCGCTGTGTTTTTGTTGCCGGTGGGAATTGGTCTGGTCCCTGTAGCATCGTCGAGATGGCAGCGGCGGTGCTGCTTACTGTTTGGTCTCCACTCCTCTCTCTCTCTCTCTATGTTCCGGCGAACCTAGCCCCGGCGGCGTTGGGGAAATAGTGGAGGATGGTTCCAGTTGTATCATGTGGGATCTGACATGGTGCAGGCAGGGCCGGTCCTGAGATTTCAGGGGTCCGGGGCAAGACAACAAAAAGGGGCCCTAAAGCTAAAATTTTCTCTATTTCAATTGCAACTAAATACTCGATGCACTATATTTATGTTGCCTTGTCATGTAGACTATACAACAAACCAAGGTCATAAACATGCACAGAAAAAATGGTTGCTCTTCTCAGTCGGCACTTATATATTTCAGTTATGTTCGTACCTATTCTTCAATAGTAACTAAAGGCATTCCTCGGAATTTCTAGCAGAAGTACTTGTATGATCTGTTCTAGAAAAATTAATACTATCTCCTTTCTGATTGTCAATCAACCCATATGCAAGTTTGTTTTCTTCACTCATTACCAAATGGATACTTTCTAGATAACATCTTACTAATTAGCACACAAACATATGATACACGAAATTAAAAGTACTATTAATTAAATAAATATAAAATTTTGCTAAGAAAGGCTTGGAACAAGGTACCTGGATGGATGTAAAATTAGAAAATTGCAAGATATTGCTGCTGCTTATTAGTCACGAACAAAAATCCAAGCTCCACTTTTGTAATGCCAACCAACACAAGAAATTGAAGTGTGAGAAAGAAATATGTATGGGAATGATCTTCATGAAACGAATGAATGATCTACATGAAGTTCATAGAAAAAGAGGAATTTGCATTGAAGAGGAGGTTGATCGGAATCTAGAAAATTGCATTACCTTCTTCCATTAATCACGTGTAGCAACAGAAAATCACGATTAGAATACACAGCCGGGGACGCAGCCGGAATCAGCCGGAAACGCTGATCCGTTGCCAATTGTGAAGCGGACTAGAAGGCGAGAAGATAGCGCCCGTGCGGCAAGTCTAGAAGATGGCGATCTGTTACCTTTTTTCTCTGGTTTCTTTGGAATCAGTCGATCTGTTGCATGGGCAACATCATGTACGTATATGGAAATCAATCCATCGGGGGCCCCTTCATACAGGGGGCCCGGGGCGGCCGCCCCTCCTGGCCCCCCTCAGGGCCGGCCCTGGGTGCAGGCTTCCTTTTCGGCCAGGGAGGAAGGAGCAAATGGAGACACCGGCCAGCTGCCAGGTTCTCCACCATGGGATGGAGGTTAGCAACGAATGCTTGGAGGAGAGCTGAGCGTTCAATGGGGATGTGGCCACGCCCGATGGACCTTCACTCTTCAGGGGTATCTTTATCTCGGCAACGTCATGTTCAATTAAATATTTGTTTTTGTGTCTCACCGTCACCGAAATTGTTGCACAGATCTCCATCTATGTGGTTGATCTGCATGTTAACCGGACGGCGGCATCATGCGATGTACTGGCATATCAGGGTCCCTTGAATGAATTTTGCACTGAAAACTTGCTGAAGGATATCCTTGCTCTGATTGGCACTGTCATCACAAGGTATTGCAGACAGCAATGCCCACTGTCCTCTAGCCTCCGCTACTCATCTTTCTTTTTGTCATAGTGATTTCCTCTATTACTTTTGGACTCTGCTTAACCTAACCGTCGATTTCATTTCAGTCGTATCCGTGTAGTTAGATTAGAGTGGGCACGTCACTATGTGCAGGTTATTGCCCTATAGATGTTCTTTTGCATTTGATCTTTCCTGACATTGATTTCTTTTATCGTGCTCTGTATTTCCTTCAAGTCAGTTGCCCCATAAATTATATTTTCCATGGTTCGGGATAATTACACATGGACAAATATGACCGGATGATGAGTAACGGTTTCCACTTGCTTGCATAATGCAATCTATTCACAACTATTGGCCTTCAAGGTCAGTCAAAATTTCAATTTGTATGCATTATTATCTCAGCCCCATCTTTTTTAGCATATTGCACATATTTGCTTCAATTTTCAAAATGGCCGTCTAGACAAGTTTTCATCATGTTGTGTTCAACCTTTTCTAATGATTATTGGAACAATCATATTACTACATACTAATAGGTCCTAATCTCAGACAACTTTTATTTGGAGAATGTGCTCTTTAAGATAAACATACTAGAAACTTAGGTGTCGAACATAAATATGGTGGCCCATACAATTGTTTATTATTATTATTATTTACATTTTTCTGCTCTATGTGCATTTCTCCAATAGGTATATTGGAGAAAATGTCCCGCAGCAATGCGCGGGGAATTAACTAGTATCAAAATAATGCTCACACCAATTGAAATTTGTTCACCTTTTTCTCAAGAAAAGTTTGTTCATGTAATTCTAAGAAGTGTTTACATGATTACTAATATTTTGTAATTAAAGAAATTCATGCTCTTTAAAAAAGTTCATGTGATTTAAAAAAGAAATATGGTGGAGGAAGAAGGAGAAAGGAGGCGCTCGGGAGGCTCGGTGGTGGCCTCGATCCGATCCGATCTGGAATGAGAGCCTAGGGGAAGGCCTTGAAGCAGTGGCGATCGTTGAGGGGGGATTGGGAGTGCTGCGCACGGTGGTAGTTCCCCGCTGGACAGAGAAAAGGGGAGAGAAGGAAGAGAGAATCAAGAGTTGGGGAGAAAAGGCATGGGGAAGAGACGAGGATGAGGGCAGCTAAGAAAGATAATATCAGAGGACAGACAACGATGCGTGTGGGGGTCAGACGACACTCGTCGTCCACGCGAGAGGGCTCGTGGAATCGTTGTCTACAACCAGATGCAAATGCAATGGGCACCCGAGCGGGCTGGACACGGGAGAGCACTCACCGAATAGGATTTTTTACATCAATCACTGATTAAATAAAATTATTCTCCAATCAATAGACACGCTTATTTACCCATCAAATCGCTTCATTGTACAGGAGCAGTAGTGAGAAGGAACAACAGGGAGGAGAGAGAGATGAGGGAGGAGAGAGGCGGGAGAAGAAGGGGACGATGGAGAGGAAGGAAAGGAAGGGAGAAGGCATAGAGAAGGGCGGCGACGCGAGGTTATAGCGGACAGTTGGGCTCGCCGGCTGCAGCCGAGAGGAAGGCGGCGGAGATGGCATCCCGGGGAAGAGC